GTACGCTCTCCATTCATCCCTATATATTGTAGTACCTGGCTGCAGCCAGTGTTACTGGTGCTTTTATTATCCAGTTCGCGATAATTGTCATAATTTGCCTTATTTAGGAATTATATATGGGGTTTTCATCACGAACTGACCTCAGCTATAATGCCAGAAATTTATTTAGCCAAATGGATGAAAGGCTCTCGCGTTAAAATACGAGATCTATTATCTTATACCTGATTGATTCGTTCACAAATTATAGTCCCGCCGTTTTATTTGTTATAGCTGCTCGCTTATCATGTTTTGTACAAAATTCCCTGTGAACAGATGACACGTTAGCATTAAGCACTGAAGTTGGCGCCGTAACCTTGAAATCCTTCAAACGCCTCTGATTGGCTCGTCCATAAATTAGAGTCGCGCCATTAACTACATACATTAATTAAATGAATTACAATTAACTGTCACAAAACAAATAATCTAATTGATCAGAAAAATCTCTTTTCCTTATTTATAAACTATTTTATGCTACGTTGTGGTCTATTTGATTGGTATATAAACTCAGTATGTTTGAAATGTAAGGATTCATATTGCAGAGGCTGAGATTGGTGTTCTGGACTTTAACTGGCTGAGCTAGGCGGAAAACAGGACCAATCAGGACTCTAGGCTGCTCGCACGTGTTTTACGCATCCTTGGTCCGATCAGTAGTTCGCTGCTTCTGATATATATATATATATATATATATATATATATATATATATATCCGTTTATAACATTAGCTATGTTTATTTATTCTATTATATATAAATATAATATTGTAGATAACTTGAACTATTAGCCAACTTAAATATATGTGGGCTTGATTGGATTAAACTAATGAATATGTAAACAATTTGATAAAAAGAAAAAATATTTTTTCCCATTTTCAAATAAATTCATATATTGAGAATGGAAACTGAACTGAACATTCATAGGTATTTATTAATCCATCCATTCATCCATCTATCTATCCATCTATCATTGTGTCACAACTCAATTGTTATCTAAATATAATTGGCAAAATGTTGTTTTTTTTGAAATACGAACCAATCAATATGCTTTCAATATACTAAATAATTTTCATTGAGTTTTATTATTTTCTTTTTTGTGAAAAGTATTAGTTCTATATGGAAATGTGAACATGAATAACCATAATGACATCATAGATTAAATTTATTTTTAATAAATGAAAAAGAACGTTCTCTAATCTTGTAAACAGTTTTAGATTCATCATTATATAAATGTCAATTTATTTTATTGAATTGATCTTCGATATAGGGAACAAAATGAATGTACTATTAAAGTGATTTACGCGCATATATATATGTATAACATAGCTAGCTTGGAGTGAATGTAATAAAATAATCTTTCGCTTTTTACTTATACTAAATATTAATGACAGTTAGATAGAAAACACAATATCAGTATAACAAATGAAATTTGAAAGTTGGAAATATGAAAGGAAATAGTTTTTCAAATGTTTTTCTATTATTCAGTGTTGGTTGGTTGGATGGAGACTGCTGGTGGGTAACCTATGCTACTCCACGAGGAGAAACAGGTGTGAGTAAGTAAGTTAGTAAGTATACAGAGACAAACGACAGAAACTTTATCGATTATATGTATAAATGTTTAATGAATGAATGATAGAGTATATTTTAAATTTATCAATATTATTTTCTATTATGGAATTGATAATGTTCTTGTATTGCCGAATTAGCTTCATAAATGATAAATATCAATGGTATTTGTTTGTATTCTGATAGAACTAATGAGTTATTAAGGTTAGTATGTGTGACGACGGACCACCGGTGAACTCGAGGAAGCTGTAAGAGGCTCATAAGGAGCCGAAGACGTTCCATCCAATCACCTTTCGGAAGAATGTTCTAGAATTCCAACGTATAGCTTCCCCATTGGATAATGCTAATAACCCCCTGTACGCGGATTGGAAGACTGTAATGATGATTTCGTTCTCACTAAAAACTATAAATACCTGACAATTTTGTACTATGTTTGACACTGTTTGGAATAATATTCCTTTCCTTAGTCTTCTGTCTTCTTATTGCGACTTGGAAGGGTTTGGTGTTCTAGTGCTCGGTTATACGCGGTAGTATCAAGAAAAATCAGCTTTTTCAAGTTATAACAGTATGCCTGTCACCTTATTCAAAGTGTTGATTTAATTCATTCACTACTCAAAGAATGAATTTAATCATGTCAAGACAAACAGAATATTACATTGATAGAATGTTTCTATTGAAACTGTGTTTCAAAAACAAGATTTTGTACAAGTTCTCATTAATAAACGAAATCATTTGTCAGATCAATGTAGCATGGCTTACTATCAATGTGACCTTTTTTAATGAATTCTCGTTACATAGTTTTACGTAGTATTGTTATTACTATTGCATTTCCATTGGGTACCAAAATAAAACTCCCTAACATGTTGCTCCGATAGAACTTCATTTGATGTTACTGGTGTGATAATGCCATATTCATTATTAATCTTAATTCAGAAACCACCATTTTTTCACTAGGTCTTCAAGAAGTTACTCATAAATACTATGTAATATATGTATATTCTTAGATTAGCTGAGATTTCGTAGTTTAGGGACAAGTTGTAAAAGAAATGAAATTCATAATTAATGGTGAATTATTTATTTTTTAAACTATAATTTAGTTTCAATAGTTGATATCATGAGTCTAAAGGTCAAGCGTTGGCGGGCAAAACCGATAGGTCCTGAGTTGAAATCTCGTGAGGCGGGATCGTGAATGTACACTGCTGAGGAGACCCATAACAGGACGAAACAGCCGTCCAGTGCTTCCAGGTTTTCCATGGTGGTCTAGCTTCAATTGACTCATAATCACAACCATTGGAATTACTATAATATTCACAAAAACCCCTTCCGATATAATTTAGTTATTTATTAAATGTTGACTTATTATTGCTTAAATAGTTCTGTTTATTATTTCAAGTTATCGACTAAAATTTATGACAATGAATTTTATACCTTAAAAAGGTAATAAAAATTCAGTGGTATTTTTTTATTACTTGACCTTTCAGTGAGTTTATCAAAACAACATAGATATGTGAAAAAAAAAACAAAAATAAACAATATTTCCCTTAAATCTTTTAGCCAATTCTGAACGGTAGTATTTGCAAGCTTAATACAATCTTAAATATATGCTAATGATTATGTGGATTCTTAAAAATGCTCAATATTATCGAATAAATTAGTTTCTAACTCTAATGGATACTCAACATCCATTGCCCGGATACCATCAGCAATAGCCTTCTGTGGGAGAGAAAAACAAGCTTCCAACTGAAGAAGAAATTAGGAAAAGACGATGGAAATGGATAGGACATACATTACGCAAATCATCAAACTGCATCACGAGGCAAGCCCTAACTTGGAATCCTGAAGGGAAGGGAAAAAGAGGAAGGCCAAAGAACACATTGCGTCGGATAATAGAAGCAGATATGAAAAGGGTGAATTACAACTGGAAGGAGGTAGAAAGGATTGCCCAGGACAGGGTTGGATGGAGAATGTTGGTGAGCGGCCTATGCTCCTTCACGAGGAGTAACAGGCGTAAGTAAGGAAGTCTAATCTATCTTAAGAAATAATTGTTCATGTAAATTTCATAGATTAATTATGAATACACAAAATAGGTTTATTATCGTTTGCTGTTCTTAGTACAAATTGAAATAGTTTACAAATAGTAACCAGTGTGATAAAACTATATCAGAAACAAGATTGATTATGTTTTATATAGTGAATCTATTTAAGATAGAAATGTGAACAAGTTGATAATGTGTAATAATCACGAAACTGAACTGATTTAACTTATATCTATATTGAAGATGAGATTCATTATGGCTAGTGATTCATTCAAACAATCGATATTTTATTATTAGTGACAATACAGTTTATATATTTACAAATCATCTGTTATAAAATAGTTCGGTTATGTAGTTATTTGATAGCTAAAACAAATATCTAGTTTGTTCTTAAAATTCTCAAACACATCTACATGCATCAAGCATCTGATAACGGTAATTCGATATTACTGAAGATGTTTAAACATTTCGATTATGATAAACTAATCCAATTTCTATGATTCAAAATCATGTAATGATTAAAGTCCCGACCGTTGTTGCTACCTTGACGTGGTGGTCGGGCTTGCCTATCGTGATGAAGCAACCGAGCTATACTGGCTGGAACAACCGTTCCTCAAGGTCCTACCATGTCAGACAGGTCGGTTGAAGAGCGCTAAGACTAGAAGCAACAAACCCAAGGTCCGAAGGTGAAGTCGTACTGCTGACTGTACAGAGGTGTGACAGCAGTAAGGTGTTTCCTTCAGACAACCAGCATGACAGCGATGCTGCCTTCCCACAAGGAGGGGTTGGGTTAGAAAAGATCGACCCTAAAAATGCACACCTCACCTTACCTCACGGATTTCCGTCTCCGGCGGTAAGGCCCTTTGAAGAACGGAGCTAACACGTCAAAAACCTCCCACGAAAAGGCCGTGTGTGACCGGCCTCAAGCAGTTGTCTCTTGGGCACTGAGGCCACACTCTCAGGTCACTAAGACCACCTCTAATCCAATTTCCTTTCCAGGTACCTCCAGAAGAACCCTTCCACGGTGTGGGCAACCGGGAAGTGATAACCGCCCTTATACCTCTAACAGCACTCAAGACTACTGACTGAATGAATAAAGTAAATAACAATGTAATTGCATAAAGTGTCAAAAAAGAAGCTTAAATTATCCAATATTCATTGTATTAGTTTTAGCTAAGTAACAAAATGATTTCTTAATAAAACTTCATTAAAATCATCCACCTAAGCTACAAATCTTTACTATCTCACAAGTTAGATTACTTTAAATTTAATGCATTAAAGCATGTAAAGTGTATACAACAAAAATTTCTAAAATAAAAAAAATCATATTTACATTTTTATATTTATGAAACTCAAATACACTTACCAGTTTACAAATAAGAAGAAAATGAAGACATTTATCTTTTCTATTCATAATTATATATTATTAACTGTGAAATATACTTTATTCATTCAATTGTTTATTTTCATTAAAAAGGATGTAAATCTATGTTTATTTTATCTTGTACATAATAAAATACTAAATAAGATAACAACTTTAAATCAGCATATGGATGATAAATTAACCTTGTATTTATATATAGATATATATATCAGTAGTATAAGTAAGATCTATCATTTCAATGATAAATAATAAGTTAATGTTTATATAGGTATTTATATGAACGTTAACTTATTTACTTTACATAAACTAAAATTAACCAATAAGAAATAAGTGAAATTCATTTAAATAATTTGATTGGTTTAATTTTCTATTAGAAATGAATAAATAGGTAATATAAAATAAATAATTTGGTTATATATTCATTTCATTATAAATAAATAGGTATTTTAGTAAAAGAAGGGGTTTTGCTGAGATTGTAGTAATTTAAAAAAACAGTTGAGATCATGAGTCAGCTGAAGCTAGACCACCATGGAAAACATGGAAGCACTGGACGGCCGTATCATCCTATTGTGGGACTTCTCAGCAATGCACATCCACGACCCCACCTTGTTGGATTCGAACCAAGGATTATTGTATTATTCTGAATTTCAATCGAATAATCTAGTTCAAGACAAATAGGTCCTAATTTATAGTAGATACAATCACACTTTTATTGAGGTTAATTAATCGTAATTTATTTTTATAAGTTGAGATCAAGAGTCAGTTGAAGCTAGACCACCATAGAAAACCAAGATACACTGAACGGTCGTTTCGTACTTATGTAGGATTCCCCAGCAGAGCGCATCCGCGATACCTCCTCGCGAGGTTAGAACTTAAGACCTATCAGTCTCGCAGGCGGACGCTTAACCTCTAAGCCTCTGAGCTGGCATCCAACGGTGTCAATGTCTAGATTCAACCAATGCACGAACTTTCGTCACTGTCCATCATTATCTTCAGTGAGTTACTATCTCACAGCAGGCACGGTCGAACTCTTGAAGCCAGTCACTAGTGAGCATATGTTGATTCATATCACAAGGGTTTTGGTGGATATCATATTAATTTTAATAGTTGGGATCATGAGTCAATTGAAGCCAGACCGTCATGGAAAACCTGGGTTCGAAACTCGTGAGGCGGGATCTTGGATGCGCACTGCTGAGGAGTTCTACAATGAGACGAAACGGACATCCATTGCTTTTAGGTTTTCCATGGTGGTCTACCTTCAATTAACTCATGATTTCAACTATTAAAATTACTATAATATCCACAAACCTCTTCTGATACTAATCATAATTTATTTTAACATTTCAACTTGAAACTGTTCTGTTCACATTGATATTTTACGTAAAAATTAAGTACATTGGGACTCATCTGATTTCATTTATAACAATTGATTCTGTCAAATGTACGGCTTTTTCATTGGAGTTTTCAATGGCTTCCAATGTTAACTTCTCGTTTTTTCAGTTGAAAATAAAGTTATTTTCGATATTGATATATGTCATAACTTTAACAATCTAACAGTTAATTGCGAATTCTCATTTAGTTGTCAAATCGAACACCCAATCTAACTGATATGTTCTCTTTTGTCAATGATCTAATTTCGTATAAACATAATATTCACGTGGTAATCCAAAAAACATTAAATACAACTAATATGGTATTGTGCGTAAACTTTTAGTATTTTGCAAAATCTCACTGAATGATAATGATTATGTAATATGTCAGAGAGTTTTCATATGTAATCGGATAAGAACAATGAAATGCTAGTAAGTTGAACAAATAGAATGTTAAAACAAGATAAAATAGGTGCAAAAATGAAGTATTAGCCATGACATAAATAGAGATAAGGTAATAAATTAATGTGGTGATATTCAGTGATCGAATAATGATAACCGGTTTGATGATTCAATATATATAGTTCAGATATTACTAATCACTTGTCAATTTCACCATATACTCAATACTTTGTGTCTGTGATCAGAATGCCTATCGAAAAAGGAAACTCTTTCTCAGAATAATAGAAATGCTATACGTAATGTAACCAAAGAATTTCAAATAAACACGGAATGAATGGTATAAAATGAGTCATTCAACCTAATCTGAAAGTTGTCAAATTTGTTTGAGATGAAATTTCAACCATTCAGTTCAGTAAATAGAAGACTACCAAAAGCGTCCACCTGAGCTACAAATCTTCTTTGAGGGTTATGAACAGGCTGAACTCACTTCCTGGTGGGGTACATGATTAGAGTATCATATCCCATGACAAAAAACCTATCAGGTGACCTTTAGTTTACTATGATTTTTGAATTTTGGTCAGTCTGCAACTATAATCACTTACAGAATAAACACATATCCACGATACCTATACATCAAAATATTAAAAATTGTTAAATTTAGTATGTTTTAGGTGTTCTCCAATCTTAGCCATTGGGTTTATCAATATTAAATAAATTCTATAATTTGATTATCCTTCAAAAACAACCTAACAACATACTCCCATTTTCGATAGCTTATTATAACTCATTAGAACCAATGTCAATCAACGTAGATTTACTTTTAACACTTACATTAGTGATAAAATAATGAAAGAAAACAAAGAAACACTTTAAATAAAATCCCTATGATTCATGTAAATTTCGAACAAACAATCATAAGGCTACTTTAAGTTTGATCATATGTTTAATTAATTAATTATAAAGAATTAACTTACATTAAAACTATGTGTTGTTTCATTTTCTTAATATATCGAATGATAGAAAGTTTACTTTAAAGAAACAACAATCATTTGTCAAATCAATATATCTACATGGTTGTTAAGGTAACTCGTATGGTAATAAATAATGATAAAAATATTTTTTATGAACTAAGGAACATAAATGAATCTAATCCTTATAAATACAAAACAAAACAACGGTGTTTTGAACATTTACTGTTCTACTTTACTCATGTATTTTCTGTTACATAACACAATAATTTGTAAGAAACGTTTTGAGTGAAAGATATACATACGATAGCAATAATAATATAGTGATGTGTGCTACTTATATCGACATAAGTAGTATATGAAGCTGGTCGTGAATAGAATGTCTGGCAGCAGAAGGTCAAGCAGATCGAGTAGGAAAGAATGGGAACAAAAAGCGATTGGTATATACAACCCTTCGAGTATATCAAACTTAATCTTTGTATGTGACAGGAAATATTTATAGGTGAAGTTTAATAACTTCCTGAATTGTTTAACGTATATGGAATGAAAGCTTAAATAGTTCTTATGTTTACTCAGCATTACAAAGTTAGATGAAATATAATGAACCAGAGCAGTCCAAGACAAAGTACGACTGCTGTTTTATGCTTGCTTAATTTGGAATATTAAGCGTTTTAGTGTAAAACATTTAAAGTTGTATTCATGCACTACGGTAAATTATGTATTCAATTATAAAATTCAATGATAATCAATGTACTTTCGACTTATTGATTCCCACATATTTGAGGATACAGTTAGAATTAATGGAAAGAGTGGATTTTGATTTTAGTTGTTCTATGAAAAGTAAAGACCGGTGTCAGACAGGGTTGCTTACTCTCACACTTCCTCTTTATCCTGGTGATCTACTGGATTATGAAAACCTCCACATCTGACAGGAAGCACGGACAGAAATGGATAGGTTGGATACAACGATACGATTCGGACTTTGTAAATAACCTAGCTCTCCTATAATATACACATTAACAAAAGCAGGTGGAGACGGCCAGTGTAGCAGCAGCCTTTGTCGCAGTAGACTTCACAATACTCAAAAGGAAGAGCACAATTCTCCGATACAACATAACATGCAACAATAGAATCACACTTGACGGGGAAGGTTTAGAAGGTGTAAAAACCTTTACATATCTGAGCAGCGTCATCGATGAACACAGTAGATCTGATGCACTTGTGAAGGTACGAATCGGCAAAGCACGAATAGCATATCTACAATTGAAGAACATCTGGAACTCAAAAAAACTGTCAACCAACACCAAGAACAGAATTTTTAATACAAATGTCAAAACAGTTTTACTGTATGGGGGTCACATGTGTAATTAAGTGAGTAAGTAAGTATGAAACACATCAATATCGTCAAATTGTTAATAGAAATATCTTTTTTATACGATTTAACATTCAGTTAAATCTCATTAGGTGTGATAAAATTTCTTGCATTTATAAGTTTATTCTGATGTGATTTCCATAGAACGCTGTCACAAGTAACAAATAATTATGGGAAAGATTACAGTAGCAAGAAAAATAGTAATTAAGCAAAAATAATCTTCGATATTCATAAAAAAACAAAACGCAAAAATATGTATCAATGCGAAAGAGCCATAAGATTTAAACTCTGATTTCGCAAATTATTTGTGCTCATGTAAATGAAAACGATTTAGGCTTTCACTCGTTTTAAAGCGGAAGTAAATAACAGATCTAGAAACTGAAATCAAACTTTTTGGCTCCTTTTACATTCTGTCTGAACAAATATAAATTGCGTGAGTACAATTGCTCGCAAAATACCAAGCTATATTATTAACTCAAAAATATTCATCCTGTAACCAGAGAAATTTATGTTTGCGTCAGTCTAATATAGAAACAGTTTTACCACTATAACTTAACCAGGAGACCTGTATATTAGGAAACTATGAAAGAATCGTCGTAGTTCATGCATTTCCAAAGATAATACATATCTGTCTATTACACACCAATCACGTCACTATTTGTTGCAAAAGGACCTAATATTTCAATCTTATTTGATAAATGCAAGTATATATATAAGTCTCAAACGAAGTCTAATATAATAGGGTGTTTAATAAATTAGTTCTTAAGTTAGCAAACATTTTGTTTAACTAAAATGCAAAGGATACAATCATCAGATGATTCAGAATATGTTTTCTTTTATCAACTGATTTCGGTTAATTCAGAGGCACACGTTGATTTCATTGTAAAATCGAAGAGAAATGCTGAATAGGTACAACAATTTTAAATAAAACAAGCTAGAATACTGAAATGTTGAAATTA